TCCCTATATCCTCTATACCTATATAAGCAAACAGAGCAATTTTCCTGGGTTTTGTTTGATTTTGGCAAAATATGTATGCAACTTTTTCAACAGGAAAACTCTGAATAGACTTCAATCATTACAAAACATTCTGGTAGTTATCCAGTATCTGGAAATGCTTAAATATCCATGACAATTTAGGGTTGTACTTGGTATTAGAATGTTCTCTCTTGTAAGTGTTTAGGTTCTGTGTTTTTCTGGGGGAAGGGGGGTGGGGAAGGTGCTTACAGCAAAAAAGATATTTGGGGAATGAAAACTAGAGTCTTTCTATCACAGATTACTCTTAACAGTCTTTAATAGCTACATACAAGTAATTCTTAATTACCATTATAACCACTGTCTAGGGCTGACCCTCTGTTCTATAATTACCTGGAAACACCTCAGACAATTGCAGAATCTCTTGGCCGGTGTCACCTCCTGATGAATCAGATTGCCTTAGCAAAGCAACAGGTTGCCTTTTCTTTGGAGATGTAATATAGTAACCAAAAGATGGCTAGAAAAAAAAAAATTACCCCGGAATATAGCATGAGTAAATTTAATCATTAATAAATAGGTTCAGTGGGCTTGCAAAGCAGTTTCAGCCACAGCGAAAAAACCAGTTGGTGTTTGGCTCCCACACCACTAAGAAATAACGTATGCCTCCTAGCATTACGAATGCCTAATCGAAATATATATACTTCCAATATATACATAAAATAAACTAACAACTTATTTATACCAGTTAGACAAAAGGAAGCATATATGCTCTCATAATCTCTGCCTGGAGGCACACTTTGCCGCCCAGCCTCCGAACACACCAGGACAGAACATGCCAACTCTACCAATTCACCAGGACAGACTGAATGACACAAGCATATCTGACTTCTTCCTCCCATTGTACACGCTTTGCTACTTTTTTTTTGGTCTGCAACACAGATGAGATACTGTTTACCAACAGCAGGTAAGAGAAGAGACAGTAATCAGATAGGTTGAAGAAGCATACAGAATATGTTAGTAAGTTAGTCTAGATGCTACATTCTTACTGAGGTTGGGCATTCGCCTAGATAGCACATTAACTATCAACAGCCATTCAAAGACACTCTCACTGTTCAAATGCCCGTCTGAGCAGCGTTTCATTCAACTACTACGTGGATCATTTGCTTGGACCTCCAACGTGCACCCTGTGTATGGTGTACTTTTCTCTCTCTAATCCTACACATAATTCCTGGCCAACAGGTGAAGATCCAGATTTATCAATAACACCAGCCAGCCCTTCACACCAGGAATTTCAAGTGGCAAACAAAAGCCAATCCAGACCTGTCACGCATAGAAAATTTCCTTCTCAAGTGAACTCAGGAAAGTAGTTCTCAGAAAGAATTAGTTACAATATAAAAACCCAAAAGTACTGCTAGCTGTTGTTGTTCTTATCCTTTCCTTGTGTCTTAATAGTAACATTAAGATACATACCCGTTTCACATCACTGCCTCCACCTAGACAACCCAGAGCTTCAGATCTCTGACCAAAGAACTCCCCCAAAGACAAACGTAAATAACTGGCATCTTTATCAAGATCAGAAGTTCTCAGCAGAATACAGCTATTGGCAGATTTCCATGAAGTATCTGCTAATTCAGATGCATTTAGAATGTCTACTTTTTCCACCTGCAGACAAAGAGATTTCAGAAGTTGTAACTTGCAAATGAATTACAGAACTATTCTGTTTACATTGAGATAATTAGTTACCTGCACAAGTTTGTGTGCTTTCTCAAATTCTTCCTGGTCTTGTGCAATCATAGCTGCTGCTTCAGCTTAAAACCAAGAAGAACACGTATTAAAACAAAGGTATTAGTTATCAAGTGCTGTCATTACTATTTTGCATCATTAAACTAAATTTTGAGGGACAGATATTGCAGTATTTAATTCTACATCTGACACAATCTGGGACACAGTAGGAGTTATTCCATCCCGTTATGGTGAGAAAAGTTCACATGAAATTTGTTTTAAAAGAGTACTCCCTGGATCTTTAGGAGCCACAGTAAAAACCAGGTTTTAGCTACCTTAGTGGTGAATAAAAAAAAGTCTCTTAGGGCCTTAACCCCAAACCAAACAATAACTTTTCATAGGTTATGCTACCCATACTAGCTAGAATTGAGCATCATATGGCTACTTCCAAACAAACTTTTACTACATTTGGTTTTGAAAATTCATCAAGGTGGTACCTGTGAATTAGAGCAAGAGAAACAGATGGGTCTGTACCAGTTCACGCAATACCTGAGCAAATTAACAGGCCAAATAAATCAATGCTTCTTTTAAATTCAAATGCCTGTATTATTTTCACAATTACCATTTACAGAACAATGAACACTTAAAGTGTCTTCACCAAAATGATGTGAAAAACTGCTGATCAAGAGATATTGCTCTACCACCTTATTTCAATGTATCATTAAGCCCATCAAAACTTATAAAATATGTAGCCTTCTACACATAGTAACCCTAGTCACAGAGAACACAGGGCAAATGGAGGAATAAATCAAGAATGGACACAAACTTGTGAACTGAATACAGCTGTTGTCCATAAAATTACTGACAGAAAGTTGCAATACATAATCTGAGGAAAGAAACAACGTTGGAATACACCTTTATTGAGCAATCCAACTGCACTTCCTAAAGGCAATCTAGCACTATCAACGACACATTGTTATATCCAGCTGAACTAGAAGTCAGTATCAGTTCTTCCTTAATCCTCTGTATAAGCCATACAGCTCTCTGAAGACTTCCTGAAGCACCAAACTGTCAAGTGAGCAATCCTGCACTATTCTATACAAGAATACACTGTGTGCACAGTTTGCTGACAGAGATGAGACTCAGAAGCATCAGATGTAACATTTCCTCTCTGTCCCTACAAATAAAGTCTCTCAGCTGTCAAGCATCACACTTTAGCATTGCAGACAGACAGGCAAACTGGCAGCCAGAAAAATGCTAACCACATTGAGTATTTAAGTGCCTGTCATCTACCATGTGAACAGGTAAACCAATCAGTTCAAAAGCAGAATTCCTTTAAAAACACGAGATGGAAAAAAGCTAAACAGACTTGGAAAAATTTACAACAGTCAAATATTCTAAACACTTGACAACCCGAGTCTGAGATGCAGGAAAGTGTCTGAAATATCCTGGCATTTGAAAAATAACGGAGGAGCTCTGCTTTACTGACATAGTAGATATGGAAGTTTCTCCCAAATTGGGTCATATTTGCTTGTTCCAGCAGAAAACCACTACGGTGTTGAAAAACATTATTTCAACCAATCAACCCTGTTCGATCACTCATTCAAAATAAACAATTCTAGACAGCAACATATACGGCATTCTCTTTAGAAGAAAGAGGAACCTTGAGTGGACCACGGACATCTTTAGAATACATTAGCCCATCCATATGTCAACTTTAGGAACTAGAAGAACTACTGTTGCATGCATTGTTTGAATCTGTCTAGTAAAACAGATGACCACATGACATTTTGGTACTAAGGAATTGATTCGTCTACAGTACTATGTGCATATTATCCAAGTCTGTATGACAAAGATCAGCCTGAGATAGCTTAAGGAAAATAAACAACTTTAAGTAAACGGAGGTTCAAAAAGTCTGGACTTTGTTAGAAGATGAGAGTCCAGTAAAGCCCCTCAATAAGCTCCAACATTTTTCAGTACCAATATCATTTTTCAGCATCAAGATATTCCCAAGGGGTTCACAAAAAACAAAACCAAAAAAATCACCAGCTAGTGAATTCAGAAGCTCTTTTCACATTCTAGTTGATTTTGTAGTAATTTCTTATATACAATTATTTCCTGTCTTATAACCATCATGTGATACAGAATGACTACTGTTTCCTCTTCTTGAAAGAAAGGCTAACAGTAATTAAAATCCAAAGGAAAAATTATAGAAACAACAGGTACAGGAGGTACTTTTGCTCAGACAATAGGTACCAGTGACACATGTTGGAATGCTTTTTGAAACAAAACAAAAGACTCTTCATGGGAAGAGTAGGAAACATGGAGAGAAGATATCAACTATAACTAATGATAATATCATTATAGGCTACTATCAACATCAGCTTTCAAATAATTTGTAGTATCTAAAGTCTGGAGGTTTTGCAACACCAAATACTGATTTGTTGAAGTGGGGAAAAAAAAAAAAGGAAGAAAGTTTACTTAACACTATTACAGGTAACAGCAGCTAACTAAAAATGAAAAAGATTACATACATCCAGTAATGAACTCCTCATTTATTTTATCATCTTCAGACAGATTTAAATTTTGTTCTTCATCAAATGAAGTATAATATGCAAGATCAGTCACCCATTTGCCCTCTTCATTTTGATAGACAATGCTGTGTGGTAAATCACCTGAAAGATAATATCAAATGCTACACTGTTGATTCAAATAAAAAGGAATATGGCAAAGTCACTTAAGTTTAGATTAAGGAGTTAAAAAAAAACCAAAACCAAACCATAGCTCAAGTTGCTGCAACTCGTTGCTTAAACTAGTTTCACCATCAAATAAACAACAGTTAAGTGCAATATGCAATAGCCAGTATTTTTTTACAACAAAAACAAGTCAAAGTTTATTCATGCTACATTGGTTTTTATTACCAACTTGCACAACTAAAGAAAAATGCATAGCTTACGATTTTATTTCTTTTTCCATGCAACAGAGTCTGGTCACAATTGTATAGATGGGTTATACCTAAAGCAACCTACCTTTGTCTGTGGTAGCTAAACTGATGTTCTCGCAGCTGTCTGCAGTTGGAGACAGGTAAGTATCAGCAAGACCAACTTCACATTCAGTTGCATCTGTCTGAGGTGCATTTGCACTAAGAAAAACTTTAGGAGTGGTGTACTGTCCCAAAAATCCTCTTGCTCTGTGTAGTACTTCTGCATCAGAAGCAGCAGCCTGACACTCAGAGGACTGTATTTCTTGCTTTGGAAGGACATCCAAGACATCAGCATTACGGCTGTCCATGCACTGAAGATACAGTGAATCTAATTGCAATTCAGCAGCACTGCAGGAATCTACAACATCTCCAGTAGTCGTGGAATTCTTAGAAAACAATAATAATTTTAAAAGTGTCAGAAGTGCAGTTGTTAACCGTTTGTGCTAATAATTCTAGGTGCAAAACAGTCCAAGTTAACTATGTTTGAAAAATATACCTCAGAACAAAGTGGTGTTATTAATTTTTTGTAAAGAAAGTTTGGGTGGTTAGTTCAATCTCTATGAAGTTCTAAAATGCACTGCTATCTTCTACTACAGTCTTACTTTATATGATAAACAAAAATTTAAATGACAATTTTATACCAGTTGCTGTACTGCTCTGGTGGGCATTTCTCTTTGTGCAGGACATCCAGTTACCCGTTGATTTTGTGAATCTTCATCACTAGCATTTCCAGAGTCTACTCCTGTCACAGCCTGGTAAGTGTCAGGAACCTGAAAGTTTTCCTTTTAAAAAAAATAAATTAAGATTTAAGTTACACTAGAACAGGTACACCAAAGGAAAGAAAAAATTAACACTACAGTTGTCTTTACTAGAGGATTTTTTTAACATTGTGAAAACATTGTACTTTGTTCGTTCATGTGCCACTGCCAGAGCCATCTCTAGCTGCTAGCACCACCACCAAGAACAATAGTTCCTAGCTGTGCCAATCCACGCATCTGCCTCCAAGAGCATACACAGCAAGAAGATGGAGGATTTCTTCTTATCCCTACTACATCCTTTCATTCCCTTTAACAAGGGCACCATGCTACTCCTCTTCCCATTCTGTTTGACACACTGCTGGATTAGGACTCCAAATCCAATTCAGAACCTATTGTACCTACCCCACTGCCTATCTATAATGGCATCATCTTACACAAGTAGAGAAGACCTGAGGTCAGAGAACAGAATTGTATTATTCTCACTCTTAAAGCAACCACCTATCCCTTTCTTCACGTACAGCCATAGATCAACAACTGGCAGCCTACGCAGACTGCTTTTACAGAATTAACATATCACTTCCCACATCTTGGAAACTCTGATGTCAGCTGGGAAATTTCTGAAGTTTCAGAAGCTACAGCTCATTTAACTGTTTAAATCAATCATACTTTCCGATTCCAGTCAAGCATGCAACTGCCAGGATCACATCCATCGTTGCAAAGCCAAGAAAATGGAAAGGCACTTAATTCCTGGCACTCTGTTTGTCATGCAGCTAAACTGCTGCCCAAACATAAACCACAAGCCAACCACTTGCTGCTCTAGGCTTATCTTTCACACACTGACCACTTATTTAATAGACTTATTTACTCTCCTGGAAAAATGAATCTCTATGATACTATACACTTAAAGCCTTGGAGAATGCTATCCAAGATAATAAACCAGTGATCAAAACGATTTTATAAACTAGTTGTATGACAGAAAATAAGTGTCAGCATGTTACCTCAATAGTTACAGAAAGAAAAAAATAAAACAATCTTTCGCCAGTAGCGAGTTCAATTTCTTTTCAACAAGTTTAATCAATGTCTTAAAATTCCATTCTGTTCTTTGAATTTTGTTGCAGTTAAAACTGTAACTCTAATAAAGAACACCAAGTTAAACTACTGAAAGTAGTCCTGTCACAGAACCATCAGATCAAAATTAAGCAATTTCTACACAGACAATAGGCCCATCTCTTGGATCTTACAGGCGAGATCAAAAGATGGCCTTAGCTCCAGTTCAGCTGACCAGCTTGCTGGGACTGGAAGGGACAAGTTAAAGCAAGCATTTTATGAGTATTAGCTTTGTTATGGAGATTTATCTTTCACCACAAATTCTTTGCAGAGACTGGTAATCAAAATTAAAATCATGCCATCACAAGACAATGGTATCAGTAGAGGCTTCTGCTTAGTTACCAATGATATAATTTCTCTTAGTGGGCTTGAGAGGATCCCAAATGCTCATCTACAAACATCTTACCATCTCTGACACTAAAAACCACCACTAGGAAGCTGAGAGGAGAAGCAAGTTGTATAAGAAACTTTCATACCTTAAAGCATTCAAAAGAATGCCTCGAAAGTACAAGAACTTCAGACCAGCATAAACAATCCAAAACTCAAAGCATTTTTTTTATTTTTATTTTTGTAATGAGGATTAAGAAATATAGTATTAAGTAGTCCAGCAGAAAAAGTCCATCTTCAGGAAATACTACTGATGCAGTATTAGTTATTACAGGATTTCTCTGAGGACAAGTCTCCATCATCCCACAGAAGGGACAGAAATCCAGTCCTAGGAGTTTGGGGTTTGTTTGGGTTGTTTTGTTTCATTTTTCCCCTTTGCAAGATCAAGTAACAGAATTGACTGCACAAAGTTCCCTACCAGAGCTGCTTATCAGGAGAAAGGAGAAGGCTATACACAGGACAAGGAGGAGTGTGAGGAACAGGATTAGAGAGGCATGGAAAACCTGAATGGAGACTTGCTTTACTGCAAGCCCTCCTGACTAATGTCTCTTGGGACAGCCAGCTACTTACCTAATGCCACCTTATGTCATAAACAGCAAGGCCTTCTGTAACAAGCAGATGAATCAGCTGCTAGCTCTGCACTACAAGGAAGAGGAAAATAAATACAAAAATAGCTACCTAGCTTCTTCCTCTTTTTTTTTTTCTTCCCCCAAGGAAAACCTTACAGAGGGAACAGAAAAAAATCAGACGCTCACTCAAACTTCTTTGTTTCTAGTTTAGAGCTGTATTTGCTATCTTTAAGTTTAAAAAGAATCTTTTGCTGTACAAACTTCCTGTTGGACAGTATTTGCGTTCTTCAGGAAAGAAATAAAGCCTGGCAGACAACTGCTGATGATGCTACCACGTTTAAGGGCCATTGGGCATGCTGAGCTTTGAACTCTACTTTAAACCTACTTGAAATAAGCCATTTTCAGAAAGCTTCAGCGCTGTACAGCATTCTGTGAGTTTCTGTATGTCAGTGTCTCCTCTTGTCATTTCTGGTTGTATCAGCTGCTCAAAATAGGCTTCTAGTTGGTTATCAAAGAACTCTTCATCATCAATATCATCGTCTATTGAAACAGAAGAAAATATAATATTCACCTTTCAACAGACATTTTATATCACCTAACATATTATCAAAGCAACTCCATAACATTTAATACATTGAGTCTCACAATACATTCACTCAGTCAGAGCAGAATTATCCTGGTTTTCCCTTAAACTAATGGGGTCATTGAAACAGGTAATTGTCTTTCTCTGTGACTAGTGATATACAGCAAAACAAGATGACTATAAGCTAGCATGTTAACTCCCAGGCTAACAAGTCATTCATCTTCCTTCGCTGATCTATACACCACCACATTCCAACTAGCAAATCGTACACATACTTATAAATTAAAATATATGTAACATTTCTCAAACTCCACAGAAAGTGACTGAAGCATAGCTCTGTATTTCCATGGCAATGTTAACTGCTATTAACTAAGAACAGTACTATTCCCATTTGCCAAGTGAGAAGTTTTCCAAGACATAATTTTTCTTGTTTTGGGGCTGTTTTTTTTTAATTCGTGAGGGCTGAGGGGAGAGTAGTTTCCAGGGCTTTTGTTTGTTTGTTTTCAAAGACCCGGACACCAGTCAGCTTTTTAGGGCATGGTTAAATGCACTCTTAAAACCATTGTAAAATATATTCCAAGAAGAAGTTTGACATCTTTACTTTTTTTTTTTTCCTTTCCAGGAAACAGTATCCTGATTGTGTTTTTCCTTAAAAAAGGCATACTCAAACAAGCCTTGCTTTTATAGACTCACAACTATATTTTGTTTTCCACATAATTAAAGAAATGTTAATTTTCAGGTTGCTGGTGATGGCTTAAGAATTGTCCAGCAATTTTGCTTTTATAGTATAATTCAATTCTTCTCCCCAAAAAGGTAATTCTGAAGAATCCTCTCAGTATTTCCTTCTGTCAAAGAGATGTACACAATACCAAGGATGTACAGGAAAAAAGTACATATATACACACACAGGTAAGATGTCATTATTTTTGCATTCCCAGTTTTGCTGGTGATGGCTTAAGAATTGTCCAGCAATTTTGCTTTTATAGTATAATTCAATTCTTCTCCCCAAAAAGGTAATTCTGAAGAATCCTCTCAGTATTTCCTTCTGTCAAAGAGATGTACACAATACCAAGGATGTACAGGAAAAAAGTACATATATACACACACAGGTAAGATGTCATTATTTTTGCATTCCCAGTTTTGCCAGTGCCAGTGCCCAGTACAAAGAGCCTGATTTACAGAAGCACACTCAACAAAATGCAATTCAGCTGATTGGAAGCTATGGATGCACAGCAACTTTGATATTACAGCAAAGCAATCAGGATCTGTTACATCTGAGAGCCAATAAATGAAAAATCAGCATCACAGCTCTGTTTCCGCATACGATACCAGAGAAGGTGGAGGGATTAAAGCAGGCTGTTTCTTCAGTTTTGGAAAGAGGACTAATACCTATCCTCAGAACAAAAGTCCATAGAGTGCTTTAAAAAAAATTATATAGGGATTAGTTACCTGAATGGTAGGAAAATACCTACAATTCAAACTCAAATTAACAACATCATGTTAATTGTTTTAACGTCATTTACCTATGTCTTGATTTCTTCTTTGTGAAACTCAAATAATAATCTATCTTCCAAATAATGAAAAGAGATTAATGCATTTTCCCTCAGATACCAGAGACTTCCTCCTTACTTTTTATAAATACTCAGCTGCCAAATTTACACTGAATACAGAATTACTTGATAAAAATTAGTAGATTGCACCCTGACTAGGAAAAATAAAAAGATCAGTTACCTTCACTGGTACCGGAACTCTAAATAGACAAGTGTTTCCAACTAAAGACTACCAACTCTTTGGAGGACAGTTAAAAGTAATCCCATCCCCTTGGGTGGAAAAAAAATAGTATTTTTACTCAGCAAACTATTAGCTTCATTTTTATACACTTTACATACAAGTGAAGTTATGCAACAAGAAAGAACAAGAAGACTTCAAAACACAGCCATAATATCTGTAGATAAAATAGGGAGAAATCCAGTAACACTACTTGAATGCAAGGTTGCTTGATCTTAAGACGGCAGTAAACTTATTTATCACTCTGCCTTCCTCATTCTTGGTGCATCTAAGCACATACCCTGTCATCCTTCACGTTATGTGCAAAGTTAATTCATTAATAAAGAAAAGCACGTCTGTCCTTCAGCAGCAGCCACTGGAAGGGCACAGAAATTTCAACACTCTGGTTTAGTTATACAGAACTCAAGCTCTCACTTTTATCCTGCTGGTAAACTAGGCTCCTGACTTGGGTGTCACCCTGCATGTGTGGCATCTAAAGAGAACCAAAACTCAAGCAAAAGTTAATTCTAACTGCAGGTACATGTTCTCCATCACAGAAGTTTATCTCCGTTAATCTAAATGGAAACTACAGCTAGGGCTACCACTTTATTAAATTAATGCCCACGTTTCTACCTGTATTTCTAATTCACAGTAACTGAGGACTATTTTTTAATTTTTTAGATTAAACTTCAAAATGTTATTTTCTCTGACAAATTCCATAGCCACCTACTCCTATTATAATTTTAAAACAGTTGGTTTCCCAATGAACACAGTTTTCTTTAATATTCCTAATACTAGTTTTTGATCAAGTGTAATCCTATATTAAATACTTCAGTAAAACAATACCTTTCTTCTCAAGTATGGAATAACATTGTGTCAGAATTCTAGACTTAACTACCCAGAGGTATAAATACACTTACCAGTGGAATCTTCTTCTGAGCTTGCAAGAGATGAGAGTTTCTCATTTTCCAAAAAACTTGAAAGGCTATTGCTAAGATGATCACTTGAGATTTCACCTTCAATTAGCTTTTCAGAAGGTTCAGATGGACCAACCTGCGAAAAGCATCCATACAGAAACATTTCTAGGAGTTACTAGCTATTGTATAAATTCAGTTAATAATAAAAACCTAATGAGGTTAATAATATTCCAAAACCTCCCCCCGCCTTTTTTTTTTCCTCCTACTTATCCCAACATACATTCTAGTTCCAATGGACTTTGCCTGCTAGCTTCCAGAATGCAAGAAACACAGGGATCATAAAGGGGAAAGAGGGAAAAAAAAAAAAAAAAAAACCATCTGAATGACACCAAACCTTAAAAAAATCAAAAATAAAATACTGAATCATTGTATTAAAGAATTTACAGTGGAAAAAACTGTGTCGCCATTTATTAAGCTGCAATCCCAACTTAAAAGTACAAAGACAACTCTCAATAGTTTCCTATGCTACTAAAACAGTGCTTCTTCAGAAATCGTACACCCAGACCAAGCCTTGGTTGATAATTTCTTCAAATGAGCATACTAAATTACTTATAAAGTAGTATTTCAGCTGAATCTAGCTAACTGTAAATACTGTATCTTTTATATACCTGAATGATTTTTAAAAACAGCACGATGTAATGTCTGTTTTGGATTTAGTCTTACATTCCTTGTGATAAAGAGATCATCTTTAACAGATAGCAAAAAAAGCCAAAGTTCAGAAAGTAAAAAATTTGAAAGGGACTTGAATTATCTTTTTCAGGTGACAGCCTGTGAGCATTCAACTGCAACTCACTGATCACTGTGGCCCTAGAAAAATCAAATAAAAGAAAACTAAATCAATTTAGTAAATACCAGCTGACACATTAAGGAACACATACCAGACAGCATCTGGCTGCAGCCTGAGGCATATTTTCTATAAGGGCGACAAGATGTCCCATTCCTGTCTGCCTTGTATCTCTGTGCCCATAACTGCCAGCTTCCCTAGCACAGTAGATAAAACCAGCTGAAGCACAGCCCTACCTGTCAATACCTGCAGCTAGCTGATAGCTCTGGGTTAGAGACTCACACACAAAAAAAGAGAATACAGAGGCAGCAGAAAGATTGCGTTCTTACAAATGGTGCAGCTTTTAATGTTGAGGACACTGAAGAAGTCATCTGAACTAACTTTCCTCAAAGTTAATTAACAACGTATTTGTCTACTCCAAAAGCATTCCAAAAAGTTCCTCAAAAGGCTTCTCACTAAGCTAAACTACAGCTGGGATAAAATGTAAGGTCTTTACATGGATAAAGAACTACAAGACAGCAGAGGCTAGGAGTGAACAACAATTTTCACAACGAAGTGGAGTCATGCTCCCATGATACTAATTATGTTAGATGATCTGCAAAAAGAAGGCAAAGTGAGGCATGGCACATTCAGCATGCTAGCACTCTTACAAACTTAAGGGGTACACGTCATAAGACAATAAATACAGTTCAATTCCCTCCTTCCTCCTCTCATAGAATTAAGTCTAGTACAAGATTAATATTACAAAATTTTAATTTCACTGTATTTAGAAAAGGTTTCACCTTGTTATTCTTACTGTCTGGAAGAAAGCATATTCCAGTTGACAAATCTGGAACAAAAGAATTTAGTGTAATCAGTATTTTATTATGGTCTTATGTTATACTACTAAGTGCTAACTATTCTATAAGATAGCAGACCGAGAGTCTTGAAGGTCTTGGCATACACCACAAAAATAAGACTGAAATATACATGTTATCACAATACCAAAGTTTACATGTTCTTATGACAATGATCAAAAGTATCTGGCAGTAATTAAAAGGGCAGGGCTTCAACAGGGCTAGAACTGTAAAAATTATGCATGACAATTATTGCCTTAAGGATTTCTATAAGGCAGTGCAAAGAAGTAAAGACTCCCAGGTTGCATTAGATGAAGTAGGAACAAGTAAGTGTTCTATCACACTGTTGCATTTCACCTATTGGGCCAATTCTTTTTTTGGCTCACTTGTAAGTAGCTTCCACTTGTCTTTGTTATATCCACCCATAACCCAATTGCAAGTCCCACAAGACAGAAAATATTTTAGACATGGACATACAGATTTCAGCACAAAAGGTTCCTAATTCTTAAATAATAGATGGGAATAAAAGACATTTTCCAGACTAAAATCCTAAACCTTGAATAAACAACAAGTTAAAATTAATTAACTAAATACAGTCAGGCACTATCAAGTCCAAGCACTGGGCAGTCCCAGTTTTCCAAAGCATCAGTTACTGCCACTTCCTCAGGACTACAATAATAAGTGACTGAAGTCAACACGTCACTGTTAGAAGTGTGTTTTATAAGGGCCCATTTATATTACAAACCATAGTACTTTCTAATTGAACATGTTCTCTATTAAATTATTAACACTTCATGAAAACTTAAGCAAATATTCAGATAAAGCTTAGAAAAGGATAATGACTAGAAATACATATTTACTAAGTATATTTACTGAATTTTAAGAAACGAGCAGAATTTACTTACGAGACTGGCATTAGCAAAAAACCCAAACAAGTTTAATATCAACAGCCACACTTTTAAAACATGTTACAGACTATTATTTTGCTTCTACTACTCTAGTCGTACTTCGAAAAAGCATAGTTTTCACAGCAAGTATTCCAAACTACTTTTTCATGCATCATCTCACTAGAAAAGTAGGTTTCCAGCTTCTGTAACTGCAGTTAAAGATCACCTATTACAGGCTGGAACAGGGCAAGAGATGAGACATTAGTTAAAATATAATCTCATAGACTTATATCTACTGAAAGAGAAGGGGTAGAAAACAACTTACATACACTTTTTCCACAAGTAAAGTTCCAAAAATTAATTCAGATTCCTATTACCGTTCTAATTACGGTATTTTATAGCAAACAGTACTTTCATACGCTTACTGTCTAGCTTTATAATTTGGGGAGAAATCTAATACAGTGTCAACCACAACCTTTCTCTGTTTTCAGTTTGTTCAAATCAAAGAGATTCTTTTTCAAAACCCATTTACGCTATGCCATTAAACAGTGAAAGGGTCAAGACAAGACATCTATAGCATAAAAAGCTAATTACACGGAGAATAAGTATATAATTTTTCTCAAATTTTAATACCTTCCAATCTTTCAAGTGGCAATACCTCAAGTAAGGTATCTTGACTGCGATTTGAATGCTCAATGACATTCTGATCTTGCCCTCCGTATACTGAATGGGATTCTTTCAAGCTAACAGAAGTTGATTGAGGTTCTTTAACTTGTGTAGCAACTTCCCTAGAAAGAAAAATTACTTCAATGAAAAAAATCACACAGTGAGATATCTAGATCAATATTGGTATACAACATCTCCATATATAAAGATTCAATCAATTGTCCAATTTTAATGCCTTCATCTCTAGGAAGTCAGCTGTTCCCATTAACATAGATTCTACAGACTTATTACCTGTCATTTTACGATAAAGGAATAAATATTAAGATTGCAAAGGCTTCAGTTTCACAATCTAAAGTATGAAACAAATAGTGACATTTAACGTGACATATGCCTTTCTACTTTTTTTCTATTCGTTCCTTTCTTTTTCATTTCTGCAAAAAGAGAGAAAAGTATAAGGGGAAAAGGGTCTATTCCAGGCAAGTTCCATGATCCATTTGAGGGCAAGTCAAACCCTAAACAAGATTCTCCTAAGGTCACAATACCAGCATGTCTTTTGTAACATTAAATTAGGGCCTAAATCATGAAGAACATAACAACTAATACTTCCCAAGAAGTCAAGCTTAGCATAAGCGTTGGCATAACTGGCTAAATTTGCTGAACCTTAGGCCACAAGCTGTGAACTTTCACCTAGATATGTTGAATGTCTGTGGAGGCACCCAGCTCGAGCTGTTATGATCACCGTACCTCTCAAATTTATCTCATGAGACTTCAAAAACCTGAGACTTTGCTGTGGGAAACAGAGGGTGAAAAATTCCATGTAGTTCTGTTAAATAACGGCTTTTATAATTCTGCAGGAAAGTTATTTCTTCACTTCTGGTTTCATAGGAGTTCCACACAGGCAAATAAGCTAATCATGTAAGATGTTAAAATCCACATCGAGTGAACTGAGCCATGCTTTTGCTTTAATATTTTAGATATAGAAATAAAACAAACATTTGAAAGTCTGAAATGCAATTATTCCATGATTGTATTTTTTTTACTTGGATACAATTGGCACTGATTCTCTCTCTTAAATCTTGTATTCTTTGCTTTTATAGGGACATACTGCCTACACTGCAATTTTATCAGTAAGAAAGACACACATTGCAGTTTCTATCGCAACAATAGGAACACATTTGACCTTGGTTAGAATAACCTATGCAACAGCTTCCAATACTTCCAACACTTAGTAAGGTGCTCTAAGTTATTTCACTAGTTATTTCCTAAGAAGTAACAATCACTGAGGGTACAAGGAAGCTAAATAAAAATTTATGTTCCTTTCTGTATGCAAACTGCACAATACCTACTTGGAACAGATTTAAATCAGTGCAAACTACTATTCACGCACACGACATGAACCAGAAGCATCAGCTTAATTCTAGATTATGTAATGTAAACTTGGTAAATAAATCCAGATTCAAAAAAGTCAATTAATTAATAACACTTAGGAAATTTTTTATTAGTGTGACAAGAAAGCAAAACATCACAGTTAAAAAAAAAAAAAAATCACTTTCTAAAGATTCATTCCTCTCATGTACATGAAGCCCAATTAGTCAATTAAATAGCAGAACACTGTTCATGTAGGGCTGTATAGGCTAAGTGGTAGCATTGCACAGAATGCTTCCACATAGCCTGCCACTATCCCTCTCCAGAAAACATGGAGGAGCTGGTTTAGTAGGAAAAGCTGGCCAGGCTGCCAAACACTGTAAGCTAACAGGCTAATCCACAGCTGAGCTCTCCAGTTACTGCCATCAAAAGACCAGTAGTAGAAGTGGCTGCTGAGATGGGCAATTAAATTCTGAAGTATTCCACAATTAGCTTATAGTACATAGAAATCTACACACCAGTATGTGCATTTTAGGACAGAATTAGATTTTAACTATCATCTCACTTACATGTCATCATGAAAGCTGAGGGCAAATTTCCCCATTGGCTCAGGATCTGACTGACTACTATGAGGAGATCCTGATGAAGGTGAATGTTTCCCTTCTAAATAGGATGCACAGATATCAGAAAGCCTGTAAAGGTGGGGAGGAAAAACACAACAGAATCATTCTAATATGCACTTCTCCTGTTCTCCAAAGAATTGGGGAAAAAAATATTGATGGCCACTCATCTCCTGTAAGTTCAATTATTTGAATATTTTAGCATTTTCTACCCAATCTGTATTTACAGGTACACATATGTACCCAGAATGATCCTCTCCAGTCTTCTGTAGTTCTTTAGAGAAATATCACGTTATTATTCTTAGTGGCTAGTGCTGTCCCATTTGCAACACACACTTCTGGAAAGACAAGGTATAAAAGTCTGATCTTGTTAAGTCACAAGACAGGAGTTAAGTGAGCAAAGCCTTCTAATTGTTACTCTTTGCTCTGCTCCTTGCCAAACAAATCATTATAAATTGTGTTAAATTTTAATTCATATCCATAACACTAGTTCTTACACTACCCTTTGTAAAATGAGCCAGATTCAGCTAAGTTAAATGAATAGCTAATACAGTTAAGAGAAAATACATGTAAAAAATATATTATTCTCTATATGACTTCAAACTCCAGTACACTAAGCTGAAGAGTCGAGTTAAAAGAAACTTGATTGTTATCAGTCTAAAAACTAAACTACTCTTTTAAATGGTGATTTTAATAGAAGTATTTCATGAGTTATGAATTTAATGCAGATTTTTCACTGCTATTACAATCAATCCTATGTTTGCTGATTAGTGTGCTACTGATTGGTAAATAGTTTTATCATCTACCAAATAATGGGTCAAAATAATTTTTCCTCTCCAAACGTAAATATTTCAAACCAACTGATTGGTTTTTGGTATTATTAAGTGGTATTAACTGATAGTCTCACCTGTTGTCACAGCCCATTTTATTCCTGACGACAGTTGAAGCTGCAACAGGTAAGCCAGGGTTTGAGGAAATAGTAACATTTTCAAAAATGACACTTGCACTGCTACTCAACGAATGGCCCAAGAAGCTTGGAAATGTCTCATCAGCAATATTTCTGAAGTCTTCCATCATCCTGCACAAGTTGCTTAAAATAGCACTCTGCTTGGCAACACAATCAGCCCTGGTCCAGCAGCATCTGAAAGAAGGAACAGATCAACTACACAGTTACACAAGTCACAGTAACGCTGTCAAAAATACATTACTTACATATCGCAGCCAATATTCTTTGGCAATCACCCTGCTTTATCCACAAATGTGCTTAAAAATTATTTCCAGTCCTCTCCCCCAAGCCTTCTGGGGGGCACAGAATTTTACAGCTCTGTCTAAAAAAGAGCAGCACTCCTGCAAGTTAGAGTACGGGCGCTGCAAGACGCGCCAACCTATATTTAGCCTGTAAAGCCGCTTGGACCAAGACAGCCTTCCTCCATTTCCAGAGCAGCGAGCACCTGGGGAGCTACAAACTCCGTGACGCGATCATCTCGGGCCGCTACTTAGCGGGCTACAGCCTAACACTACTGATCGCAACACGGAAGGCCCGG